ATGGCAACAAATGATTAATAAGTACTGCAATGGAAGTAAGAAAAATAGACTAAATAAACAAATATGGTATAGATTGCAAAAGGAGGGTGGACTAGCATTACCTAATATAAAAAAATATTATGAAGCAAGTAGATTAAATCTGGTTATAGAAGGAATGGTTAAAAAAAAGGGAATAGATTGGCTTAGTAATGATTCAGGAAAAGTGGAAGATGAAACTTGGAATATATTTTTTAAACAGCTTACTAGAAAAGAACTGAGGGAAATTAGAAACCCAATGTTGAGCAACATACTGAAAGTATGGAATAAATATAAGGGGAGGTTAATAAAGGAGGGATCAATTATAACCCCAATAGTGATGGAAAAGAAGTTCCCAAATTTTTTTTAAAAAGTAATGGATAAAAAGGTAAGGGAAATAAACTTAGATAGGATAGGGGATTGGATGAAGGTGGAAATGAAGAGGGAAATGATGTTGGAAGAGTTTAAAGAAATAAAATTGTCATGGTTTCATTGTATACAATTAGAACAATGGGTAATAAATTGGAAAAAAAATAATAGAAGTGAAAGCCAACTCAGTCAATTCGAACAAATAATACAGAAGGGAAGGACTGTAGAAGAGCACGAAAACTTGAGAGGTATAATTAGCAAAATTTATAAGATACTAATTGAAATGAAAGATGAAAAAACAAAAAAGTGCACCCTTAAAGAGATTTGGGAAGAAGATTTAGGGATAAAAATAAGCGAAATAGAGTGGCAACAGTTATGGGGACAAAGACATTTAAAAAATTTATCGATACGAGTTAAAGAAAATTATTACAAGTTAATATGGAAGTGGTACTTGACACCGGTAAGAATAGCATATATGAATAAAAATAACTCAATAAATTGTTGGAGAGGGTGTCAAGAACCAGGAACATATATACACATGTGGTGGCAATGTAAACATGTAAATAATTTTTGGGAGAAAGTATTTAGAGAAATAGAAATAATAATGAATATAAAAATAGATAAAAGTCCTAGTATAGCCTTACTATCATTATATAACAATAAGCAATTGAAAAAGGAGGATAAAGAAGCGATAACAAACTTACTAACTATAGCAAGACTGCTTATAGCAAGGAATTGGAAAAAAGAAATGAATATACAAATAGAGGAGTGGTATAAAGAAGCATGGAAATAGCAATAAACGATAAATTGACATGTATATTAAAGGTTAAAAAAGGTATATGGAAACAAAGCGATTTTGATGCTGTATGGGGAAGATTTGTGGTAAATGGATTAAAAAATAAGGAAGGAAAATTACCGTCACAAGAAGAAATGAAATTTGGACAGATGAAATGTAAGAATGGTGGCTTGAGACGGGTGGAGGGGAGCACTGTGGTGAAAAAAAAAAAGGAAAAAAAGGGGGAGAAATGTCAGAGTAAAATAATAAAATAACATGTTAAAGAGGTTGATGTACAAAATGTAATAGTATGTAATAAATGTGATAAATCAATAAAAAATTATTTAAAAAAAACCATCAAAATATCCAGGCGTCCCCTGGGTAACATCCTTGCAGACGGCCAATTCTCTCACACCAGAAGCAACTTGCAGTTTCTCATGGCATGGGAAAAAGGGGGTGGCAGCTTCCTGTTCTAGCTTCCTATTTCCTATCCTGATTTGTGATCAATTGTCTGGAAGGTTTTGGCAAGGAAAAAAGGCCCAAAGCTTGAAGGGAGAATGGGAGCGAGGGCATCAAGCAAGAGACCCTCACCCTGTTCCAGTGGATTTGCCACACAAACGTTGTGCCTTCTGAGAGAAAGATGCTCTAGTTTGTGGGGAAAAGCTTCCCAGAAAATAGATTAGAGCTTTGAAAGGTACTTTTCTTCAGATTTCAATACATCCTTCCTGAAGAACTAATGTTATAGAAACTTCATGACAAGTTGGACCTCTGCATTGGCTGGTTTGACTTTTGAGGATTTGATTAATCACAGATTTGATGAAAATGTTCTTTGAAGAAATCTCTAAACCTGTATGAGCAAGATACTCCACTTTGGCAGGAAAAACGAAATGCAAAGATACAGAATGAGGGATGCCTGGATTGAGAGCAGTACGTGTAAAAAAGATCTTGGAGTCCTCGTGGACAACAAGTTAAACATGAGCCAACAATGTGATGTGGCGGCAAAAAACGCCAACGGGATTTTGGCCTGCATCAATAGGAGCATAGTGTCTAGGTCCAGGGAAGTAATGCTACCCCTCTATTCTGCTTTGGTTAGACCACACCTGGAATATTGTGTCCAATTCTGGGCACCACAATTCAAGAGAGATATTGACAAGCTGGAATGTGTCCAGAGGAGGGCGACTAAAATGATCAAGGGTCTGGAGAACAAGCCCTATGAGGAGCAGCTTAAGGAGCTGGACATGTTTAGCCTGAAGAAGAGAAGGCTGAGAGGAGATATGATAGCTATATATAAATATGTGAGAGGAAGCCACAGGGAGGAGGGAGTAAGCTTCTTTTCTGCTTCCTTGGAGACTAGGACGCGGAGCAATGGCTTCAAACTACAAGAGAGGAGATTCCATCTGAACATGAAGAAGAACTTCATGTTCAGCAATGGAACTCTCTGCCCCAGAGTGTGGTGGAGGCTCCTTCTTTGGAAGGTTTTAAACAGAGGCTGGATGGCCATCTGTCGGGGGGTGATTTGAATGCAATATTCCTGCTTCTTGGCAGGGGGTTGGACTGGATGGCCCATGAGGTCTCTTCCAACTCTTTGATTCTATGATTCTAACAGGGGAACCTGCATATTCCTCAAGAGGTGTTTTCTCAAGTAAAGAAATAGCATTTAAAACATTTGCCCCTAATCCCAGTGAAGAGGGACCACTGAAAGTAATTCTGCAGGAAGAAGCAGATGTCGCAAAGTTTTCTTCCCAGTTATCTCCAAATGGCAAGTTGATAGGAATCTGAAGAAGTTAACAGTCTTGTCGAGGTATTGCTGGCGAATGGCACATTTTCAAAGTGTTTATCACTGGAAAGAACTGCCTAGAACAGAGCTTTCCAAACTATGCATCTATGTCACCTGCAGTGTATAGGTATGTCATGTGAACGTAATGAAAAACTTCAAATTGTGAAATAAACAATAAATCATATATTTTCAAAAAAAATACAAATGAAAGGTTTTAATGAGATGCTGTGTCCCTATATTATTTTTTGTGTATTTGTGCGTATCTCTTACAAGGGGTTGGTTTAACCTCTAGTTTGCAAGTAAAACAAAAAGACTCGGCTGGACATTAAGTCTAGTCGAGTCTTACTCTGGATCGTGGTGCTCATCTCCATTTCTAAGCTGAAGAGCCGATGTTGTCCGTAGATACCTCCAAGGTCACGTGACTTAAGTCACGTGTTTTCTAACTGCTAGGTTCCATTTGGCAGGAAGATAAACAGCACTCCATGCAGTCATGTCGGCCACATGACCTAAGGCAGCGTTCCTCAACCTGGGGGTCGAGACCCCTGGGGGAGGGTTCACAAGGGGAGTCTCAGAGGGGTCACCAAAGACCATCCGAAAACACATATTTCTGATGGTCTTAGGAACCCCTTTGGCAGAGAAGGATGAAGATCTCCCCACCTGTCCTCTTCTTTTTTTAAAACCGTGCTCTCTGGATATAGGTGAACTACATCTCCCCTAAATCACTGTCAATGCCTCCCAAATCCTTCTAGTATTTTCTGTTGATCATGGAGGTTCTGTGTGGGAAGTTTGGCCCAATTCTATAGTTGGTGGGGTTCAAGGGGCTCTTTGATTGTAGGTGAACTATAAATCCCAGCAACTACAACTGCCAAATGCCAAGGTCTATTTTCCCCAAACCCCACCAGTGTTCACATTTGGGCATTAAATCACTACTGACCGAGAGGTCATGTGTTCGAAGCCAGTCCGGGTCAGAGTGAGCTCCCGACCATTAATAGTCTAGCTTGCTGTTGACCTATGCAGCCCAAAAAATAGTTGCATCTGTCAAGTAGGAAATTTAGGTACTGCTTTATTTGGGGAGGCTAATTTAATTAATTTACAACATCATAAAGCCTTCCAGCAACATGCGTAAGAATGAGGAAGTACTCCATCAAGGAGTACTTCCTCATTCAGGGTCACAAGTTGATGGTGAAGCAGCAGCTCCCCCTGTGGCCAAAATTGAGCATAGTCTCATGAAGACGGAAAGCTGGAATGTTAAATTTGCCTCTGTGTCTGTCTATATTTGTATGTCTAAATGGCATTTAATGTTTGCCATGTATATGTGCATTATGGAAGGAGCCCCCAGTGGTGCAGTGGATTGAACCGCTGAGCTGCTGAACTTGTTAACCAAAGATCGCAGGTTTGAATCCAGGGAGCAGCGTGAGCTCCCACTGTCAGCCCCAGCTTCTGCCAACCTAGCAGTTCAAAAACATGCAAATGTGAGTAGATTAATAGGTACTGCTTCGGTGGGAAGGTAACGGCGCTCCATGCAATCATGCCGCCCACATGACCTTGAAACACCAACCCCCAGAGTCGGACACGACTGGACTAAATGTCAAGGGGAAACCTTTACCTTTGTGCATTGTAATCTGCCCTGCGGTGTGAGAAGGAGGGAATCTAAAAACTGTAAATAAATAAATAAATGCTAGACAGAGAGATATATGGCTTTTCTTTCTTTTTTTTTGGTCGTGTCAGGAGCGACTTAAGAAACTGCAAGTTGCTTCTGGTGTGAGAGAATTGGCCATCTGCAAGGACATTGCCCAGGAGACGCCTGGATGTTTTAATGTTTTATCATCCTTGTGGGAAGATGATAAAACTCCCTCATGTCCCTGCATGGAGAGCTGGAGCTGACAATGGGAGCTCATCCGCGCTCTCCCTGGATTCGAACCTGCAACCTGTCAGCCTTCAGTCCTGTCAGCACAGGGGTTTAACCCACTGCGCCAAAGGGGGCTCCTGATATATGGCTGGAGTTACACTTAAACATGTACTTGTTCCAACTTACATACAAATTTAACTTAAGAACAAACCTACTTTGTAACTTGCGGACTGCCTGTCTGTCACAGTGCTCTGACTCCATATCAATCAACGTCTTGGCTGCATAGCATGGAACACTAGGGTTGGCATCAGATAAGGATTCTTCAATGGCTGCAAATTCCTAGGATTCCCTTGTATAACGGTTTCAAACTCCTATAACTGAGCAGTGTGGAAGTTCCACTGAAAACCCTGCATGGCACAGGACCATCGTACTGGTTTGTAGTGAAATCGAGTGGGGAGCAAACCTCAGAAGAGCCGCTTGTTGTGTTTTTCCAAAGAGGATCAGGCTTGAGAGTATAAACAAACAAGAAGCCTTCCTCCCCAAAAGCTGGGAGGCGGCATCAACGCGGCGCCTGGGAGGGAGGCCGCCTGAAGGGCGCTCACTCTCCTAGGGAGCCCAGTACGAGCTCCTCTCGCCCCACCTAGTGGCGGAAATGCGGAATCGCACCCGGGAGCCTCTTTCAAAGGATAGTCTTCTTGCTTTGGGTTTATTCTCCCCTTTCAGGAGTGCGAGACTTTAAGGACTGCGAGAAGATCCAACCAGTCCATCCTACTGGAAATAAAGCCCGACTGCTCACTGGAGGGAAGGATACTAGAGACAAAGTTGAAGTACTTTGGCCACATCATGAGGAGACAGCAAAGCCTAGAGAAGACAATTATGCTGGGGAAAGTGGAAGGCAAAAGGAAGAGGGGCCGACCAAGGGCAAGATGGATGGATGGATGGCATCCTTGAAGGGACTGGACTGACCTTGAAGGAGCTGGGGGTGGTGACGGCCGACAGGGAGCTCTGGCGTGGGCTGGTCCATGAGGTAACGAAGAGTCGAAGACGACTGAACAAATGAACAACAAGGAGTGCAATCGCTTGCCTGGCCTGTCGCAGAGGTAAAGCCGAACTCTAGCCTTTGTCAAAGGCAACATTCAGAAAAGAGAAAGCAAGTCAGAGAAAGAGAGATACAGACATACATTATATACCCCTCTCTCTCTCTCTCTCTCTCTCTCTCTATATATATATATATATATATATATTACTTACTTAAGCGATCCCTCGTTGTCCGAGTAACATTGCCCCCCAAGGTCGTGTCAGGCTCCAAGGAAGAAAGACAAGGCACAAAATGAACACCCAAGCCCTTCAGGAGCCCTCCAGACGAGCCCATCTCCAAACAGCACTCAAGAACCATCTACCCACAGAACACCCCGAAAATGTTGAGGAACATTGGAACAAACTGAAGACCTCCATCATCACAGCCTGCGAAAAAACTATTGGATATCAAACCAAGAAACATCAAGATTGGTTTGACGAAAATGACATCGAGATCCAACAGCTAATTGACAAGAAAAGGAAAGCCTTCCAAACATGGCAGAGAGACGTCAACTGTGCTGCTAAGAAAAAGATCTACGCCAGTGCAAAAGCTGAAGTCCAAAGAAGGACAAGAGAACTCAAGAACATCTGGTGGACAAAGAAGGCTGAAGAAATCCAACACCTGGCAGATACTCATGATGCTCAGGGATTCTTCAAAGCCACAAAGGTCATCAATGGACCAAGAAACCATGGCAAGCAGCCTCTACGCTCATCAGATGGAACCAAACTCCTGAAGGATCAAAAGTCAATTGCACTACGTTGGAAAGAACACTACCAAAGCCTCCTGAACCGCAGCTCCAATGTGGCCGAAGAGGTCCTCTCACAAATCCCGCAACAACAAACCAGGGATGAGCTTGCAGCACTGCCTAGTCAACAATGCCATCAGCCAACAAAAATAACAAAGCCAGCGGACCGGATGGGATCCCTGCTGAAATCTTTAAAGAGGGAGGACCCGAGCTGACACACCAACTCCACCAGCTCATAGAAAAAGTGTGGGTGACCGAGAAAATCCCAGCAGACTTCAAGGATGCCACCATCATCACCCTCTTCAAAAAAGGGGAAAGAACAGACTGCGGAAACTATCGAGGTATCTCCCTTCTAACCTCCGCTGGGAAAATCCTCGCAAGAATCCTTGCAAACCGCCTTCTGCCCCTCTCAGAAGACACCCTCCCAGAATCCCAGAACGTCTTCCGCCCCTCCAGAGGAACCGTGGACATGATCTTCACTGCAAGACAGCTCCAAGAAAAATGCAGAGAACAAAATCAACCTCTGTACATGGCATTCATCGACCTTGCAAAGGCATTCGACACAGTGGATCGCAGCACTCTCTGAACCATCCTCCAAAAAATCGGGTGCCCAAGCAAATTTGTGAACATCCTGCGGCTCCTCCATGATGACATGATGGCAACAGTCTTGGACAGCAATGGCTCCCAAAGTGACCCATTTAAGGTGGAATCCGGTGTCAAACAGGGATGTGTTATTGCCCCAACTCTATTCTCCATCTTCATTGCTATGATACTTCACCTTGTTGATGGGAAGCTTCCCACCGGAGTGGAAATCATCTATCGGACAGATGGCAAGCTATTCAACCTCAGCAGACTGAAAGCCAAAACCAAGGTCACAACAACATCTGTTATAGAACTCCAGTATGCTGATGACAACGTCGTCTGTGCATTCAGAAGAAGATCTACAAGCCACTCTAAACACCTTTGCAGAAGCATACGAGAAGCTCGGCTTGTCATTGAACATTGAAAAAACCAAGGTGCTTTTCCAGCAGACACCAGCCAACCCCTCTCCAATGCCAGTGATACAGCTTAATGGTGTAACATTAGAAAATGTTGATCATTTCCGCTACCTTGGCAGCCACCTCTCCACCAAAGTCAACATCGACGCCGAAATACAACACCGCCTGAGCTCTGCAAGTGCAGCATTTTCCAGAATGAAGCAGAGAGTGTTTGAGGACCGGGACATCCGTAGGGATACCAAGGTGCTTGTTTATAAAGCTATTGTCCTCCCAACCCTGCTATATGCCTGTGGACGTGGACTGTCTACAGACGTCACATGCAACTCCTGGAACGATTCCATCAGCGCTGCCTCCGGAAAATCCTGCAAATCTCTTGGGAAGACAAGCGGACAAAAGTCAGCGTGCTGGAAGAAGCAAAGACCACCAGCATTGAAGCGATGGTCCTCCGCCACCAACTCTGCTGGGATTTGTGGGATTAACAGAACTCAAAAACCACTGAATGAATTGACATGAAATTTGGACACAATACACCTAACAGTCCAGCAAGTTAATGGCCAACTTCAGTAAATCTTGCAAATCAAAAGGTTGACAGTTCAAAGCCCAGATTGGGGTGAGCTCCTGGGATTTAACCCAGCTTCTGCCTACCTAGCAGTTCAAAAGCAAAATGTGAGTAGACAAATAGGTAAGGAGGAGCTCCAGCGGGAAAGTAACAGCGCTCCATGTCATGCTGGCCACATGACCTTGGAGGTGTCTACGGAAAACGCCAGCTCTTCAGCTTAGAAATGGAGATGAGTACCAACCCCCAGAATCTGGACTTGATAGCAGGGGAAAACCTTTACCTTTTTTTTTTTACTAAAGATAAGGAAATGCCAGAAAATGAGGAAGTTTGCAAACAAAAGCCCCCTCCTTCTCCCGTGGCTGCAACCAAACACAAGCCTCCAAGATGCTGAAGATGGGAAAGCCTATATATACGTCAACCTATGTATAGTTGTCTGTCTTGTCACTGTATAACAGCATTGAATGTTCTTCGGGGTGAGAAGGGCAGAATATAAATACTGTAAATAAATATAAATATGTACGTATGCACATAACACACGTGCAAAACAAATAAATGAAACGTAACACACACATCTGTTATATAATGCAAGTCTGTGTGTTATATGTCGTATACATAATATACATTACATGTGTATCAATCACACATAGAAGCACCCAGTGCTGCTGCTTCACCATTTCAAACCATTTTAAAAGGCGATGTCTTTTGGAATCAGATTACCATATATAGCACACGCATATGTATTGCTGTGGTTTGATTTTAAAAGACAAGAGCCTTTTAAAAAAATGTTGGGACTAAAAGTGAAGCATTGAAGAAAACGGTGCTGGTTGTTTGTGCGCTCCTTTATCTTCCCTGCTTGCCAGGCCTGCAGTTAGATAATTGCCTCCTGATAATTGCTCAACGCTAGATAAGAGCTGAATGAAGTCAGGGCCGTTGGTTTTATCGGCCTCAACATAAGATCCGCCAAGCAGGAGATTAAAGGGGAGGCCCACTAGCCAAGGAACCTGGGGCAAAACACGCACATTGTGCCACTTTGTGCCACAGCTACGGCCCCACCTGCCTTGAAATGGGAGGAAAGGGAGGAGGCAGCCCCAAAAATGGAGAGCTACAGGCCAAATTGGCACAGAGCAAAACAAACTTTTCCTTGACTGTATCAGTACAAGTCTTGTATATGTGTGTGTGTATCTTGAGTATTTATTTCCACAGAAACCACAAAACCTTCCCTGCAAGAAAGGAAGAGCAGCGTCTCGGGGGAAAGGCTGGAATGGAGAGGGAGCTAATTAGGCAGAGAAGCAATTAAAAATTGTTCCAGGTAAAATTTCATTTCTGTTAATTACACAATCATGCCGCATCCCCGTACACTCCAATTCCAGTTCATCTCCTGTCATCCCACTTTCTCAGCTGCCTGTGAAATGGCCTTAGTTTCCTATCCCTCCCCCTTTTCTCCACTGCCTTCAGCTTGCTTCACTTGCTGCAAATGTGAATTCAAACTGGGTTGTTGTAGGTTTTTGGGCTATATGGCCATGTTCTAGAAGCATTCTCTCCTAACGTTTCACCTGCATCTATGGCAGGTATCCTCAGAGGTTGTGAGGTCTGCTTCCAACAGACCAGTGAATCTGGCCATGAAAGCCTTCAATAATACAGTTGAATTCAAACTGCCAAACTGGTTTGCTGCCAAGACCAAGCCAGTAAATCATAGAGCTGGAAGAGACCTTGTGGGCCATCCAGTCCAACCCCCGGCCAAGAAGCAAGAATATGGCAATCAGAGCACCCCCGACAGATGGCCTTCTACCCTCTGTTGAAAAGCCTCCAAAGAAGGAACCTCCACCACAGGTAGCCTTGGCTATTCCCGCTTTGCTGTATCTCCCTCCCTTCTTCATTATGCAGGCTAGGGCTACTGGAAATTGTAGTCCCACTAAATCTGAAAAGGCACATAATTTCCCCCTCTGTTTCAGTTCTCAATAAGGTTTCCCCTATTTCTATGTTTGTGTATTCCAGGCAAGTTAACAAAGGCAAGGAAGCTACCTTACAGAAAGGCTTGGGCTTTTGGGTACACCATTGCCTTCTCCTATTCACTGATGGACCTTTCGGACAATGCCATTCTCTCAGGTTACAACCTACCCTTGTGAGGGTTTTTTAACATCAGAAAATCTGTTAGAGGAGAAAGACGGAGCTATCTATTTTGT